AGAAGATGGGGTATGTTTTGGAAGAAAGTTACTGAGCAGATAAATATTTTAAAAATAAAAATAGTGGACCCCTATGGCTTCCCACTGCATAGCAGTAGCTGGCATAGCTGCATATCCACTACTATGTGTCCCCTCATCCTGATGGGGCATGGTCCTTCAGTTAGCCTTAGAGACATTTTTACCTTGGAACCATTCTCCTGGTCTGGTATGTGATCCAGTTATTTCATACCCATGCATCTCAGTGAGCTTCATCTTTGCTTAGAGCAAAGCTTTAGACTTCCTTCTCGAAATCAGTTACCTGCATAAAGGATCTGGAATACATGGAGATGGGATTAATGCATGCAAAGAAATAGTTAGGCACTGTAAGATGTTTCCAATTAAGCATCCTCATGTCTCTGGTGAGGAGAGGGCAAAGAGCTACTGAGGGCAGGTCAGAACAGGCTACACTGCCTCAGTTAATGGCAGGTGCTGTTATGGAAACATCCTGCAACCAGAGTCTCGCCCCCTTATCAGTGAGCATTCAGCTCAGAGCTAAGTGTTTCTGGCTGTGAGAATCCAGAGGGTCATAACTAAGAACCGCTTTGCCCCTCTACAACTCACTCAGGTTGCCTTCCAGGGATCAGTGGGTCTGTGTCGGAACCTGCAGTTGGGCCTCACTAGGGTTTTACTGAAGCACAGATTCATGTCTAGGCAAAGCCAAAACCTTAGAGGAAGAGACAAACGATTCAGACTGGCTCACAGATTTACTGCACTAACTGCAATCCAGGCAGTTGTAGAAGCAGGTGGGGACACATCTGCTTTATGAGCCAGAGTTCTTCCTTATCATCCAGCAGAGGGGCCGGGATAGTGGTGGACAAAGGAGATGCAGCCATCTCAGAGTTGTTAGCTAGCTGAGTGAGGCTCAGCAAATGGACAGGGACCCTTTAGCCCTTTTCATTTCTTGAAAAGGGATTCCTGTGCCAGGCATTTCTTGAAAAGGGATTCCTGTACCGGCTGAGTAGATGTGAGGTCAGTAGTACAAATTATGTAATCAATAGAAGATCAGGGTTAAAGACATCATAGCTCTCGGAGCTGCCTACCCCTTGGGACTGGCCCCACTAGAACTGTAATGTGTCTTCTTTCCAGGTTGCGCTCTCCTTCCTGGGCCACACTGCATCCGCCACCAGATTGCTGAGTACCGTCATGCGGCCCTAGAAGTCTTTTGTTACAGAGGGAACCATATTGATGAATTATGTTTGTCAAGAAATGTCAAGCTTTTCCCTCCAGTATTAACAAATTTTTAACTTTTCTCGTTCTGCCATCACATTGCCAGAGGTGCTTTACTTGAATTATACCTCTTCAGAACACCATAGCTCTGAATTCTAGATGGTCAGTTCCACCAGATTTTGTCCAGGTCATTTATAAAGCATCTCAAATATGTCTTGAGACCTGGATCTTTGCTCAGCTTTTATTATAATCAGACATCAAGTTCTGTTTAGCTACTCAAGTTTGACCAATATTTTTTCATTCCCTATAACTTTCCTTTTTCATTAATATCCAGATTTTTAGCTTCATTTATTTGTTTGATATTTGGCCTCTGACAATTGTATTATTGTTCAAAGTTATGTGCTGCTCCTCTCTGGGGCAGACTTATACTTCCTTAACAAATGACTTCGCCTTTTTAAAATACATAATTCAAAATTATGGGCTTCTCCCACTAACTCCAGCTAAGCCATTGGGTTTTGAGTAGGAAGAGGGGACAGGGGACTTATAAAAGCTGAATGGTAAAGAAGAGATGGTAGGGCTTATGGTGAGGGTATCGGTGATAGGGTATGAGGAAGGTAGGGGACAAGTAGAGTTGGAATTGGATAGAGAACCAAGTTAGCTGATGACCAATTACACCAATAGAAATATCGGTATTTCTGAACGTAAGATAGCATGGAATACCAAACATCAGAAAATTGAAAAACAGTGCTGCAATCACTGGATCGATCCCTCATGATTATTTTTAAATAGCATATCCAGTATTTTATGTAGTAGCATAAGCTCTCAAGACTTAGTCCAGTCACAAGTCCCATTTTTCTCCCCTTTCAGTCCCCTGGGCTACTGATCCAGACTCTAGCCTCGAATGAGGTAAATTAATCATGAGGGGATGGAGGGAAGGAATAATGGAGGTGTTGGTAAGGATGTGGCTCCAGAGAACTGAGCCGGAAGTTGAGAGCAGCTGAGCTGGCCATTATAATATGCAGGCTTCCCAAATGCTGTGCCTGGCAGCCCTCTGTGCCAGCACGGAAGTAAAATCTGGTTTAAGGGGAAGTAAAATCTGGTTAAAGGGGGAGCAGGAGCTTTTATGATGCCCAAAGATTTCCCCAAGGGAAATGTTTTTGCTTCTTGGCAGCCTATTCCTGGAGAGGACAGCAGAGAGATGGACTTGCCCTCATGTAGAATGACTGTCCCTGTGGTGAAATTGTCCAGCTAGGAGTCGTTATGCATTGAGGTGGTTCCCTAGGTTGGTTAGCTTCCTGGAGGTTGAAAGCCTCATTTCTCTGAACATGAGCAAGTTTTCCTTTAAATATTGTGCTTCCAGGGCCGCAGTCTTCATCTTTATCTAGCACAAAACAATTTGGGTACAGGCCCCAAAGAGAACTCCAACAGCACGTATATAAGCACTGTAGTTCCTAAAATCGGTATGTTTCTCTTCCCATCACCTCTATTCCCACACATGCCTATGACATAAATTTGAAATGCCTTGTTCACATGAAGACTGCAGTCTCAAGCCATATCCTATCAATGCATTTAAGCTGTCCCTTTTAGTGCAAAAGACAGAGCTACACTAAGCCATGCTGTAATTAGCTTTGTATGTTTTTTGTCACGACTGCAGTCTGCCATATGTGAGACCAAGATGAAATGCCATTCCAGCCGACTCTGACTCTGTTTAAGTGTGTGTGTTCAAGCACTTATTCAAAACATAACCACAGGCCAACGTGCCTTTATCGAAGCACATGGATATCATTACTGCGCTTACATTTTAGGTTGGAAGGAAATACAGCAGTTAACCACCTGAAATCTCAGTAGACAAGAGGAGAATGCCATAAAGTTTTACAGCTGTGGGACAGAAGATTGCAAAATGTAAGTTCCATTAAAAAAATTAGGAAATAAGTTATGTTACCTACTTGAGTAGGTTTGTCAGAGTGATTAGTAAAGCTTAGTTATTACCCGTGACTAGAAGATTCCATTCCCACAAAGAAATGGGGTCAGAACTGGAAAAACATCAGTTGTTCTTTCTTTGATCTTAATCTCATTGTATTCAGACAATGCTAACAGAATTTCTCACAAGCTTCCAATATGTAAAAACAATGCATGGTATTACTGATAATTGGAATTTGTGTTGCTAGTCTTTTGCCTGCAGCAAAGATGACTACCATTAAGATATCTATCCTATTCAGATTCTGGAAAGATTAAAGCACCTTAATCTTTAGTTCTAAATTTAGTTCCTCTGGGAAGGAAATTGAGATCCAGAAGTCCTGAATGAAACCGAATGCTTTGGGAGACAGCTTGGATTGGCTTAAATTAAAGCTTGCTCTCTTGAGGGCCATAGACAAAGCTTTCTCTACTGTGTTCTGCTACTGTATTTAGTGCGCTGAGTAACTCTTAATGTTTCTAGGATTTCCTAAGTAGCCTAGAAACAAAGCTAACAGAAGAGAGCAATATATTTCATTTAACTAACTTTAACAGGGTACCCAAAGTTATTTCTTTTTAAATAGCTCACGAGAAGTCTTGGTCAAAATTTGGTGGTAATAGAAATACTTGAACATGAATCCATCAGCTGCCCTTTAAGTCTCCAGACTCTAAGTACCTGAAGAATGAAACACTACCCTGGATGCTATAACCTTTATAGGCCTGTATTTCTTTTCCAAAAAATAAAAAGAACAAAGTCACCACTCTCACAACAGCTAGAGGAAAACTCAGTAGAAACTCAACACTTTTTCAATGAGAAATACTTGATGTCATATATTTTGTTTAATAAAGACTGAGTTGGCTGTACACTAAGCCAATCTGAGAATGTGATCTGTAACTCACAGTCTTAATTACATGGAGAAAAAGTGAATGGGTTCATTAATGCTGTGAAAAGGAACAGTGACCTACCTGCCAAGTGGCAAGGTGGAAATAATTAATCTAGTCAATTAAAAAGAAATAGATCATTTAAAATGCAAAGTCTTCCAGGTAATACACTGTATTCTATTTGGAATTGCAAATTGTAAATGTCAATTCTGGTCTCAATAAATTCTCATTCTTTCCTTTTCTTCTTTCTTTTTGCCATGCCTCAAATCTAATAGAAAGAACTTTCTTAGCTATAAATCACCACTTGTTTCTTTATGTTTTATGTTCTACAATATTTATTTATTCCAGTATGTACTCTAGAAATGCTCCAGGGGGTTACCAGGTCGCTGGTACTATTTCCAGGTCGCTGGTACTATTTCCAGGATTCCTTTCTCCCTTTGTTGGGGTCTGTTCTATTTTTCCCTTCAAAAGTGTTTGCCTTTTTCTGGGATTTTAATAATATTTTAAAAGTGCTTGAGTCTGAGCCACTCTGTCTGGGTTATCTAATCCCATTTATGATCCTATAACCTTGAAGCTTGCCACAGCCTGGCTGTCAGCACCAGATTCTAAATACGTAGGATGGTGTATTTACTCCATGGAACCGGAAATTAGTCAAACAGTTACTTTTCTACAAAGGTCCGTAATTCCTCTTGACATTTACAAGCCAGTAGTAGTTCTTAGATATAGAGTGATCTCAGAACACTTCGGGTTGCAGCGAGTGGCTACTTGCAACGAACGGCGGGTGCAAGCATTTGCGCAGGGCGGTAGGGCTCACTGCTCCATCTCGCCCCTGTCTCCCCGCGCTTGCCCGGCCTGTCGGCGCTCTGCAGAAACGTGGCACAGAACCCGTTTGGAGCTTAATACTTTTCGGCTGGTCCAGACTCAGTTCAGGGCATATATTAATATCGTGTTCATTTTACTACAGCAACGCTTTATAAAAGCAGCATCCGAGTTTTTAAAATCTCGAGGGAAGACTGGTTTGTTTGTTTATTTTTTTATGGTGAGAGTCTGGCTGTAAATTTCTGGTTGCTAGGGAGGAATAAAGATCTCATCTAAAACGTTGCGGTGGTGAAGTGCGACTTGAAAGTCTCTATTTCCTAGGTGTTAAACTTGGCAAGTTAGAAATAGCGAGGGAGGTGAAAAGACGCTTTTCCTTGATATGCTCAAACAAAGTAGTACATATTGTCAGCTCGGCGGGAGGCGCGCGGCGGCCATATGCGCGGCGCCCAGCGAAATGGAATAAACAGCTGCTGCCAGGAATCCAATTCCCGGCCAGTAGGCAAACCCAAGCCCTCCTGTTTCCAAAATAAAAATCGCCAGAGGAATTCCCCTTCCTGCAGTTCCAGCCAGTAATTTTATAAAAGCATAAAACATGTCTGTATTGTAGTTTATCATAATCCCTTACATTTGTAGAGCATTTTACAGTTTACAAAGCGCTTTACATACATTATCTCATTTGAGCCTCGTAACAGCCCTTGGAGAGTACAAAGCGCAGATATTTTGATTCGTTTTTCACAGATGGAAAAGGGAAGGTTCAGAGAATGATGGTGAGCAGGGCACTGCAGCTGGGGTCTCCTCCTTCCTAGCCCAGAGCTGGCCATGCAGAAATCTGGGCTCTTCAGGAGGACGATGGTGACCCAGTGAAGGTATCTTTTTTCGTGTAGTTGAAGCGCAAGCTTCACTTTTCTCCCCTTTATGCAAGCATCAGCTCCCTCTGCCGAAGAGCTTCTCTCGCACTTTTTTGAAGCAGCAAGGGAGGCAAGCCGGTTTGAAGGGAGCAAGAAGCAAGGAGAAAAGCTACTCTTCACACTGAACGTGGAATCTGGTTTGCCCTTGATGGCAGTCAGAGCAGCCATTTCATTTTTAGCATATACTGCAGAGATCAGCCAAGGGCACTCTGAGCAGGGAGGAAAGAATTTGGATATTGTTCAATTGTTCTCAGACACTGCCACCTCTGTACAACCCTTTGCAGAGAAACAGGCTTTGCTTCTGGAACTCCCCGGCTTGTATTCATTGTAAAAGCAGATTTACAGAAAGGATCTGCAACTCCTTTTATATAGGAATCCCCTTTAACCTCAGGAAATGGTGGGATACTGGTGCATAACAATTCTATCCTATGGGATAGAGGACATTGTGGGTGGATGCTATAGCAACTGTCATGAGCAGCTTTAGTTCTGAAATAGAAAACTGCTCTCTGGCAGAGGCCTGGCTTCTCCAGTCAGGTCTCACTGGGCCTGCTGCCACGCCTGGGGATTTTGATCTTTGATTCTAGCTGCAGAATCTGGCATTAAAACACAGCCACTGGAACTGAAATGCCAGGACTCTATGCTTACCAGCGTAGTAAGCTTGAGCAAGTTTACTTAAGCTTTCTGTGGTGCCAGAGATGTGCCTTACCTGAAAACAGGGGGCTATTAATAAAATCCGTTTCATGGAGTTATTGTAAGAATTAAATGATTATTGTTTGTAAAGTGGTCAGAGCAGTGCCTGATGTGAGATGGTGCTCCGGGCTTTGTTAAATCCAGTAAGGCCGTACTCCTGGCAGCAGTAGTCCAGCTCCAACCAATTCCTTCCTGCTCCCTGATGATGTCCCAGTTATGGAGAGTGGTTGGTGACATCCCTTCTTCCCTTGTTAGCTTTGATATGTCTTCCCAGGATCCCCCAGAGAGATGCACAAACTTAGAGGCACTCATGCAATTTAGTTACTAATCTTTTCATGCTGCAAAGCAAACAAGTTTTGTTTGCAGGAACACAACACATTTTGTTTGACTGTATTACATGGTTGGTGTTAAAGCAAAAATTGTGCCAGACTAAGTTAAACATACGAGCCAGACTTTTTTTCAAGGCTCTTGAAGTAGGAGAGAGAGGCCAGAACTCAGTCTGAACTCAACTCTGCTGAAACAAAGGGTAGCAGGGTTTTTAAGCACTGGAGAGAGAGAGAATGATGATGGGCCATCTGTGTTTGCTAATTGGCTTGACCCAAGGGAAAGTAAATTTCTCATATCTTTACGACAGGAGATAGTCTTATAATTTGGAGCAGAAGTTAAGGCTCCTACTCTCCCACAGGAACTGGGAGATAGCAGTACTGTCTCCTTTGATGATTACATTTCAAAGAGGTTGCTCTCAGGTACTTGAGAAAGGCATTCTTGGGTTGTAAAGCTGGCAAGAGACTTGTTAAAAGATTTACATATGTTTCAAAGAGTCAGAGAAAGAATTGCAATTATAAGTTTTCTAGAGAAAATGCTCTAGGAAAAGGGTGGTCAGGGCCTAGAGTCTGGGAAAAGCCTGTCCAAAGTTTAGTCAAGCTGAGGGAAACGTTAAGGCTATCTTGGTCATTGGTATTTTAGAAATTGGATGGTGATATGATGCACAGTGCCCCTGCTACAGAGTTCCTTTGGAAGATGAACAGAGCATTACAGTTTCCCTGGTAGGCCATGATGAGAGTGGCCCAGTGTCCTTTGGTTACCTAAGTTACCAATCTCAGTCCTTTTGCAGAGAGCAGCTAGCTCTCGTTGATAAGGAGAGAGCCTTATTTTACTCTCTGTCTTGAGTCCTCTGAGTCCTGGTTCACTCTATAAATTACTGTCCTTCTCCTGGACCAGAGACTGACATTCTGTCCTTGAGTCCATCCAAAGCGCCATGATTTTGGAAAAAAACTACACAGTTAAGGGGAACAGAATATGCCACCCAAATATGTGCAACTTTGGCATATGGGCTATTTTGAGCTGAAGGCAATGAAGACCGAGCAGACTCAGGAAAAACCGTTACCTTTCCCTTAACTGCCTAAAAGAATTTAGATAGGGGGCCTGTACCAGAAAGGAAGCTGCTACCAGATACAACTTTTTTATCTGACTTATCTGCATGACAGGACAAACATCTAATTACCAAACATCTACTCTTATCTTCCTGAGAATTATCCTCCTCCTCTTTGAACCCCCAGGCCCCAATCTTGTTCCTTGGCTCGGGAGGCTATATAAACCTCAATTGGCCTACTTGCCTTTGAGTCTCATATTTTTATGGGGCTCCCATAC